ATTCATATTTGCTGAAATAGCTTGTTAATTATGCTATAAAAGGAGATCAAATAAATAATAAAATATGCATACGAAATGCACAAAAAGCGAGTGCACACAATCTGGAAGATGCTGACAGCCCAGCTGACAGACACAAGCAATTTCCGCAACATTTGCGCTGCTCCTGGCGACGTGATTTGCATTAGCCAAACCCCCTTGGAGCTGGGCCTTGAGCCATGTGAGGACGCCTGGTGTCGCTTCGATACGTTGTTGGCTGTAATTTTTTATGGGTGCCATCTCAAGGCAGTTTTTGTGCAATCTATCTGCATGTTGCACGTCATGTTTAGCTATGTTGCACTTATGGTTTTATTATATGGCGGCCAACGATTTATGGCCCAACCGTTTACTTCCGACCAAATCTTGTAACCGGCTGCTGTCGTATGCCACTGCCAAATTTATGTTCGCCCGAGACGAACCGCAAATGGGGAGTTGAGACAATGTTACCCAAAAATAAACTGCTTTTAGCTATCAGGTCAAAGCCAGCTGCAAGTGCTGTGCAAATATTACAAAAAGGTCAAGCAACACTGACACAAAACAAATGTTGGCAAAGTTCACAAGCTTTGCGGATCGCTGGCAGCACAACATAAATCGTTTTATTGAGCGTGCCATCCACAATATAACTTTCAACAGTTATGCAAAGCAGAATATCTCTACTTCTTAATACACTGTCATGCACTTGAATATGTACAAGCATTATTATGTAAAGTTGCAACTATTGGAAACAAAAAATCAATCGAAATGGCTTATAATTGAACAGGGATAGCAACTAAAAGTTGGTATCGGCACGGCTGCACTTTAATAACTTTATTTTTAATATTTGATATTATTTAAATTATTTATTTTTAATATTTACTTAATTCAATATATTCTTAAGTCCGTTGTTTCTCATAAGCCCAAATATTATGTCAAGAACGGAATCGGGGATGTGTTAATAGCACCTGTTACTAGGTGTTATTAAAATTGTCTTTCAGACTCAAATCCTTTTCGATTAAATTGAGATCAGTATAATAATATATATATAATATAATGACTATATGGAGTGGTCGCGATCAAAGTTACGTTTCGCTTCTACTAGTGTTTAATTGCCCAGTGCCCAAAAGTAGGCAATAGTTTGAATGCCCTTGCTAATTATTTGTGAATGGTAGCAATTGGTCAAATTGTCGCATTTCTTGGTATTCCAGACATTTCATTGTATACTGGCAGTTTGCAGTAAGAAAAATAGCCATAAATTGTAGTTAGCCAAGTTTTGCTGTGTCGCCTTGAGAATTTTGGAGCGGCTGCCAAGTGCGAGACAGCAAAAAGAATGCCAAACAAGTACAAAGCGCGATAACAACAATAAGTTCCAAGTTGCTAGTTGCACTTTGCGAGTGGCATCCAATGCTCCAATGCACAATGAAAGAGTCGATAGTTTTCGAATAGTTATTGGCACTGGCAATACGCCGCTTGCCCCTTTGATAAAACATTCGAACAGTCAGCGCCGTTTACTGTCAGTCGAAGTCGCAGTCGAATAGGATGAGGATGTGAAGGAAGTGGAAGTAGAACTGCTTGGCTGGAAGTGGTAGTCGGATTGCTTGGCTGCTTGTAATTTATGGCAATTTAACAAGCAACAACAACAACAACGATAACAACACCAGCCAAATGGCGAACGGCAAGTTCCGTTACAGTTTCTGGCCACAAATAGGCATAAATTTGCATTTAATGCAGCTGCGAATGAAATGGGTAAAAATGAGGAGCACAAATGCCAAAAATTATTTTGCTATTTAGTAAGTATATAATTTCCTGGAATGGACCCAGTGCTTGGATCGCAGGTACCGGGTCGCAGGTTACAGGTCGCTGGGTGCCATAAAAGCGGCATACATTTTAAAACTTTTACAAAAAAATTTGCATTGCAAATGCCTCAAACTCTCACACACACACACACTCGCACACACCCATCACACACACTCGCACACACACCCATGTGACTCGCATGGCATAGTATTTTTCGCGTTTTGCATGCGGTTTTAACAACGTTTGGGTCAGTCTATTAAAATGCAAAAAATCCGCCGAGCCCGTTACCTGTTACCCGTTACCGCCCGGAAGTCCATTTTGTCTTGTCGTTCACGTCATAAATATGGCCGGGCAAATGCCGTTGCTGTTTACGGCTTAGTCTGCCCGTATTTATATGTGTATATGTATATATGTGTTATGTGTTTTTGCTTATGTGTGCCGGCTCTAATGACAATTTGCTAGGGGTTTGCATTAAACTGAAGCGAATTTCACTTGACACACATGCGTTAACATTTTGGATGTGTGTGTGTGTGCTTGTATCTGGTACTTTACTCCATTCCTAGGCTGTTTTAGTTTTATACGGAAAGCATAAATTTAAATAATTTCCACCCTTTGCATTCGCTTTTACAACTTGTTTTTGAAATGTGTCTGTCTAGATACTAATCTATGCATATACGTATATCTGAGAGTTTTATTTGGCATATGATGACTGGCTTTGGATAAGAGACTAGCTGCCATCGAGTCATCAGAGTTGTCAACCTACAGAGGTCACGCTTAAATACTCAGTTGTCATTGCTGTCTTTAAGATTACCATTTTTTTTTAGCACATCCTCAAATCAAGCGGTATTCCTTAAGCAATCGCTGGTAGATTTTCTGTTCCGTTTTCGCATCATTTTATTTACTGCTTGCTTCTGGATTTTTATGTCTTGTTTCTGTATCATCGGATAGCTTCTGATAAATTTATGAGCTGTGGGGCGCTGCTAACTCGTTTTTAGCTCTTCTCTCACAAAATATGTATGAAATGTCTTTTATGTTTTTATTTATAAGCATTCAGCAAAAATATAATATATTGGGTAGATGATGCTATTTGGAATCATCACATTTGCAAATCAATCCAACATCCGCAATCATAAACAGTGCCACAAATAATGGATACTTAAAGTTTCAAATAGCTGGAACATAATTGCACATATAAATATAAATATACATATTTATGTGCTATGTATCTTACTTTTTGAATATTATTTTCCACACGAATGCCTTAACATGACGAAATTTACTAGCCAAGGCAAAGACGAAGAAGTTGCCTTAGTTTGCTTTGGCTTTGTTGCTTGTCACTTAACGTGAAAAACAATTTTTCTCTAGCTATGTTTTACTATGCTATGTGTGTGGGTGTGTCTGTGTGTGTGTGTGTATGTGTGTGTGGGTGTGTAATGGTGCCCGTGTGTTTGTAGCTATCAAAAAACCAATTTTCGCTGCTAAATTGATGTTTATAGCAATGTACGATGATGACAACGACGAGCCAGATGATGTTGCCGTCGATGGCAATGATGAGCTTGTTGTGACCACCGCATCTCACATCCACTCAACCCCTCGTCCAGTGATGAAGACAAAGTGCCAATGCGAAAAACTAAACGCCAAGCCAAACCTGTCTAGGGCCTGACTTACTACAATACGCCAATGAAAATCCTTTTCGTCTCAACTCAACTCGAGCGGAGTCTCCTCGAGTCTGCTCTCGACTCGACTTGACAGCATTTTGATGCTTCCGCTTGTAATTTATGTGACACTTGCAGCACCATGGATCAGCAGGAGCTGCGGGCAATGTAACAAGACTAGCTGACTATGGTTTTTGTTGCTCTTTGCTGGTTGAGTTTTTATTAGGTATTTGCAGTCAGTTTATGAGTCGCTGATTTGTTGAGCAAATTCAAGCCATCAAAAGCAATCGGGCTCAATAAGCGTGCAACGTTACTGCCTAATCATTTAATTAAACCTGCTCGGGTATATTAGCTAACAGGCAAAACCACAGGTGAAATGTGGTCGCATCCTTTTGTTTGAGATTCGTGGCGCGATGGTGACGATAACGACTACAATACATAGGGAGAACAAGCCCAATTGCATATTAATTGAAATCCATTCAAACATCATCTTCAGTCGCTTAGGGGTGAAATGCACTTCAGATTCAACGTCGCCTCGTCAACACACGTCAACTGTCTCTGAATCGGCCTTCCCCCGTCAGCCGTCTCTGTCACTTGCAGCTTTATTGTGAGTAAATTACAACGATTGACTGCACGCATGCATTAAATGAGTGAATGCATTTCAAACGATTTTCTCATGATTACGATTGCACGGTGCACTTGAGCCGTTGACGGCACACCATAATTCTTAAGCTGGAATGCTTATGGTATAATCTCAGGCATTAATTCATGCATATATCTAACTCAGATCAAAGCAACAGTGCCAAAACTCTGGCTGTGGCACTCACTTTATGTTAAGCGGCGCATAAGTGTGTTCTGACATCGACATTTAAGGCAATTACATGAATCTCAGAGACACAGAGCCTAACAAAATATAGGTATTTATGACAAAGCAAGTGCTGTTGTCTGAGTGAGACAATGTCGAATTATATACGCGAATGTTGATATTTTAGGCTGCCTTCAGGCAATTCCAAAGATGTGTGTTAATTAAGACATTATATCCCAGCTAAATAACTGTGACTCTGTTTCCACATTTGAGTAGATAAGTTGTCTCAGAAAGGCACACTTACTGAATGCGTTTCAAAGTTGAAAACAAAATAATAATAATAAAAACCAATATTTGATAAGTAAGAAGTTTGCTTAGGAACAGATGCTTCCGCATAGTATCAGAGATGTTAAGAGAAAAAATTGATTTGCAGCACTTTACCTTAAACTACTTTATCTCATTTCCAATGGAATAAGACTGCCAAACGCATTTGTTGAATATTGGATTTGAGACTGAATGAATGCAGGGCATCTTCTTTGCTTTATCTTCTATTTCTCAAATTGTTTTTCTGAATTTATCGCAGTACTTCATTGCTTCTGTTTGGTTTCCATTCAAAAAAAGTTGTCAATTAGTCTTCGACTCTGGCACACATTGCACAACTGTTTTCAATTAGTGTCAATGTCATTAACTATTTAAGCCGGAGCACGGCTTAAATAAAACTCTACTGCGCTTGCCAATCATTTGGCATTTGAGCCAAACAACTTGCCGCCGTCGCACAAAGTACAAAATTCTGTAAATCCACTTCTAATTAATATAAACATGAGACTCTTACTCTGGGCGTGTGCGCTGTGTTTGGTTTGCAACAACACCAGTGGCATGTTCGGCGCTTCTAATGATGACTTTATCGGCGATGCAATAAGCGGTCTTAACGATTACTTTGTCGAAGATGCAGCAACATCAACATCGAAGCCTAACAAACCCGTTGCAACAGCGGAGACTACGACGGCGACTCCTGGAATATTCGATGAAATGGAAACGTCTCTGGAGCATGCAACTGATAAGCTCGACGGTCTATGGCAACGGTTCAGAAAGGTAACTTAATCGCTGGGTGTGGTGCTACGAAGAGTGAATGCCATTAATATCGATATCTATTATGCGTTCATTTTAGGAACTTCGTAGAATGATGGGTAGCATCAGTGGCAGCAATGACGCTGACGGACAAAGTGCAACAACAAAAGTAACAGCGACTGGCAACTTACAGTCACAAAAGCCGATTGTAAATGAGATGTTGGCCAAAACAAGTTCGACAACGGCAATGCCAACAACAATGATAACATCCACAACTACAACTCTGCCAGCGATTGAGTTAGAAATAACCTCGACAACGCCGCTTCCATAATGACTTCTGAAAATAAACCTAAATAACCTCAACACCCAACAAAAGATCAGCTTTCATTAACATTCAAATAACTCAAAAGATAACACACTCGTATTTACAATTAAAAATGTAAACAAAAGTATATTTCACATTTGGCTGCACAGCTGGCTCAATTATTTGAACAGCTGTTGGTTATTCAACATCCCAAAATAATTTAACAACGCTGCTGCGATAAAGAAAACACCCGATCATTCTCGAAAGTCATGTTGAGGTGTTGTTTTTATATGCCTATGTTATTGCTAATAATAAACGCATTTTCTGTTCAGGTATGTACCAAATTTAATATAAAAAAAGTAGCCTACATTGCAAGTACTAAATTCTTACACCGCAGCCAGCACCATTGCTCATAGCTGTAATGGACATCGATCAGATAGATCGCTTAGATAACGCTCTAGCTGAGAAACGGGAACTACTGAAACAGCAGTTTGAATATGGTACGTTACTGGGAAACAAATAAAAATGTTCTGAAAATATATTCGCATTTTTTCGTAGATAGGAGTATGGTGCAAATGGAAATGCTGCAAGTTAATCTGATGAAAATTCTATTTATTGTGAACGTGGTGACTTTAATATGCATTCTCTATGTTATGGAAAGTGAAACATATACATTCAAAATGAATGTCATTTTAAAAAATAGAGTATACACTGTATGATAATAGTAATACCTAAGCTAAAACCCAAGACACTCATATGGACTGGATAAATAAGTATTATTAAAATATTCTGACGGAATAAATTATTATTTCACTAATTGAGCAGCCATAAAAAGTAAAAAATAATAATTAACTTGTGCAAGTGTTTGTAAAACACCGATGTAAATATAATATCTCAATAACCGGCCAATTTCAAATCACCTACATGCATAAATATCATAGGCAACATTTTAAAAATTTCGTGGTGAACGACAAGTATTCAAAATGTGTTGATTAGTTCAAGAGGATACTAGAGACTTCCTGCAACTGACATATGTATGTTCAGGGTCACAAAGTTCAATTTATTTACTGTCACTTGACAAAATGTGCACAGAGCAAAGCTGAAAAAACCCTACTTCGCCATGAATTTTACTTTATTAAACAAAGTACAAATAATAAAACAAGTAAATTAACCTGTGAATCTACACAGAAAATACATCATTCATTTTGTTTTTAATTTACTTTTAATTAAAAAATATTCATACGCTAGCTTTATATATATATATATATTTACAGAATAAGTGTGAATGCTTGAACTATTTTCAACTGAGAAAAGTGTCATCCGCAGTTAGGAGAATTATAGTTATTTTTTATGTATACATTTAATTTATATAGATTTATATGTTAACTACAGCAAACGTTAAAGCTGAATATGTTGATTTATTTATTGTCAGTCGCGTTGATTGATTAACCCTTTTTATAATAAAATATTCGAATGATGTAACAAAGTTTGCCAGTTATTAAGTGCATTATTCGCAAAATGGTATTTCAATACCAGTAACTAGCTTATAATTAAATATATGCTTACCATTGACTCTAATAAAATTGCACATACGCCGCATGCGCCGATAGTTGCAGCAAGAGGTTCAGCAACGTTGCTGTTGGGTATATTGCAGCTGCGAATAACAAATGCTCGGCAACTAAATAATTATTGCCCACTTGCTGGCGGGTAAAACCTGTACACTTAACACTAAATATGAGGGCAAGGACCCTCGAATCCGAAATTCAATGCGCAAAACATCATTAAATATTGGCAGCTGTTCATTGCGCCAACTGTGCATGTCTGCCAATTGTGCTGGATCGGAGTGCAGTTTCATTTCGAGTCCCAGTTGCTGTTGATGTTGTTATTCGTTTGTTTATTTGTTTGTTCGTTTGTTTGTTGGCACTTTTCCATAGCTGGCTTCATAAATATTAACAGCTATTAAAACACTGAACTGGCGCAGCCATGCATAAGCAGGCGAAGAACTCATTTTAAAGTTTCAAACCAAATGCCGCACAGCTTACGCGCAATTTAGTAAACGATGTGAAAGCACAGGAGCAATGTAAATGCACCAACATGTACACATTTATTTGCATATGTGTGTGTATACTTAAAAGCATTATATGCTATTGTGCAGCCTCAGTCTAATAGCTCATTTAATTAAAAGCGGAAATTGAGCAAGTGACCAAAAGCGAGCCGTGGCCAAGTGGCCGGCAGAAACTTTTTACCAAAGTTGTAGGAAATATTAAAAACGGAAAACACTTTGGGGCAACTAATTCTCTGGCACTGGCACTGGCTTGCTTGCTTGCTTTTTGCTGCTATTCAGCTATGGAGCACACTTATTGCCCTTCTCGCGGGTATAACAAATTTTATGGCAAAGCCCGTAACGCATTGAAAAGGAATATTTCTTTCTATTTGCTCTTGCTTAGCCGAGTGAGCTAAGTTAATTGTGATATTCATCTGTAGATTTTATGCATGACTTTTATTTTGACTGTATAATTATTATGGGTAAATATTAACAAATGTCATCTTTATATATTAATTTCATATTTAACATTTGGCAAGGGTATTATTTTCGCCAACACTTAAGCTGCAGTCCTTTCTTGTATTTCTTTGCTCGCTTTTTGGCAGCATTTGTGGGTTCAAGACTTGGCCGGTTGTCCACTTTACTGAATGGGCGTCAAGCTGAGTGCCAAGAAAGGAAGCGAACGCGGCGCATTTAGTAAGTTTATTGCATGAAATTATGAAACGCTTAATAAAAGCGCTCTAATAAGAATTTTCAGCTATGCGTGGATGAGGGCAAGTATGTGCGTACATTAAAAATAGAAAAAAGAAAGCTCAGCGTACTTTAAGCGAAGTGAGTTAATTAAAAGGTTCACATATTAGAAAAGTTCGCCTCGTCCAACAAGCTCAACGCAGTTTAATCATGTAAGTGCTGGCAAATTGTTGGCTAAAATTAGAGCCAGATAAATATTGCGCATACGCCTAGAATTCGCGTTAAAAGGATGCTGCTGCTAGCTGGTTGTTCGTTGTTCCTACTCCTGCTACTGATGATGCCAAGTTTTATGCTAATGGCTTTCGCTTAAAGCCAAAAGTAATTTATTGTTGTCAGTGGGCACCATCAAAAATGTTGCTGCACATTCATTATGCCCAAATGTATGCGCCTCTGTACGTCTATATGTATATGTGCTCTTGTGTCTATGAGCCTTTGTCATTGTGTGTGTGTAGTATGTCTGTGTGTGTGTGTATGTGTGTGTGTGTGCGTGAGTGCTTGTGTATGTGCATTAAAATTTTACCCGAAAACATAAATCCACCACCCTATTTTGTTTGTAAGCTAAAAACTTGCATAGAAATTAAGTTAGCCAAGAGGAAAAATGCTCGAAAATTAAATGAAATGTTTTACCGCATGTCTCGCAGCTATTTGTTTTGCTTACTTTTCTTATACCCTATAAGCATCTCAATTGTTAAATAAGCATTTCATAAAATGCAGTTAATGAATTTTTTAAATACTCATATATAATCCTTTTAGCATCAGCAGACGATTTGATCTAGTAATGCATCCATCACACAGCATTGCTACATTTAAATATTTTATTATTTTTGTATATCCGTCGGATATGAAAGACGGCACTCATACGCTAAAATATGTTTGGATACACGAGTACAAAGCGTAAAGCGATTTTATTTGAATTTGCATTATGCATTTACACATTATTAATGTAATAAAAAAGAAGTTAAGAAGGCTCTATAAAAAATAACTTATTTGCATTTCATATTCAATAAAATTTGTTATTGTTATTTTATTTATGTAGCTATATCAATATTGTTTGCGCTTTCAGCTTTTTGATACGTTTATTTTCCAAATAATAACACAAACTTATTTCCCATACGTTATAAAGTTTATTTCGATTTTAAGCCAATTGCTAATCCTTCTCACAACAAGAGTAACTCACGATCGATGAGCGAAATGGAGGTTTGAAGACACAGATAAACCTTCTCAGCAACGATAGCCACTAATAAAAATGATCGATCAGCTAAAGTTATGCGAAACAACTGATTGGCTTTAGCAGCGTTCGGATAAGGAGAGAGAGAGAGCGATGCTAACGCGTCTGCTGCAGTTCAAACTGCACTTAACGTAGTGTGGAGATGTAATTAAGAATAACAATAAGCTATTTATAATAAGCCGCGCTGAGCTCCAAATCCATGCATGTAAACAATTTATTATTAATTAAAACTTTGCTGACGCTGCCAACAAATATTCTGTTCATATTTGTTCAATAAAAATACGATTAAAGTATAAAAAAAAGAATGCCGTTGCTTCTTTATTGGCTCAACTATGTACAAATTGTATAATTATTACAGAGTTGCTAGAATCCAAGCAGAGGGTATCTAATCGTTGACCTTTCTAGACAAGTGCTTGGAATTCTTGTATTTTTTTAGCATTAAACAGGAGCACAAAAGTTGCATGTTTTATGTGCGGCTCGGCTAAACGTCTGTTTGTTCGTTGGTTTGTTTAAGGACTAGATTTAAATATTTGAGCAAGCGGTTGCCAGTGTGCTACCCACGCGACACGTCTTTGACGTTTTGGCCTGCTCGTTTGCTGGCCGTTAGTCGTCGTTGGGAAGCGTCCGGAAGTATGCAAAAGATAAAATGGCCGCGAAGTTTGCAACATGTTTACGGTAAAAACGTGATTTTCGGCCCAAAAACAGAGCCCGGCTGGTGCTGACCAAATGTGACCAAGGCCGAACCCTTCACCAACCGCAAACAAGTTAAGTTTAGTGGTAGCACAAAGGCACAGCATCAACCCACAACCCAGTAGCCACCCCCCCACAGAACTCCACACAAACCAAAGTTATAAAAATAAAAAAGAAAAAAAAATTAAACATTTGTAGCTATGTCACGTTTGTGTTGACACTTTCTTATCACAGCCAAGCAAAATGAGTCTCCGGCTCGTGCTCGTCCTGCTGTCGGCCCCGCTTTCGACCCGGCCTAAATATGTGGATGTGCGTGACAGTATTGACTGTCACAGTGACTTGTTCACCTGACCCAGCCTGAAATAAAACTGCACGTGTTTGCGCTCACATCGTGAATGAGTGTGGACCAACATAGGGTGCTGCCACGCCCATTTACCTACACGAGCACATATGCTCGTAGGTTTCATTATGGCCAAAGTGCGTGAGTGCGACGACAAGATGTCAGTCTGTGAAACAGCCTGTTGCCTGTGTGCTAATTTAATCAATCCACTGCTCAGCTTAACTTCACTCAATCATTTAAGACATTTTGTTGTTAATATTAAAACATTTTTTCTTTTGACAAAAGGTTAACTTGGGATTCAATAGTTTGAAGATTTGCATTATATACCCAGCGTTCTTAAGTTCACATTTAACAGGTTGTTCAAATTGT